ATGATAGCCGCTCAAGAACTCTCCGAATTTCTTCAAATGGAGATTCGCCTCAAATTCGAGGAAGAAGTTCTTGAATTCTACAGAAATGGAGAAATCAAATCTGCTCAGTCAAAGAAAAATCCACAGAGCACATTTCCAGTCATCAAGTCCACTGTTGGAGGCTCAAAGGTGAAGCTTTCGCAGAAGAAATTGGGAAGAAGGCTTTGCCTTCCCAATTCTGGAGTTGAAGTTGGGAAATTTCCAGTCAAAAATCTGGACTGGAACATCATTGGAATTTCTGGGCGAACTCCTTCTGGCCCAGCAAAGAAAGCAGATCTGAACAACGATTACAAGTTGATTTTGGAACTGGTCATCGCCTACCTCGAATGTGGGAGTGTAGGCCATGTCGATGACATCACCCAGGAGAGAGCCTTCATCATCAACGCTCTCATTACCAAAACTAAGGTAAACTGGGCTGCACACTTTTTCAATTCCATCTCAAAGCATTTGGGAAAGCCCAACCAGAAATATCTTTGTCAAGGACTATACCTTGGACATATCTTGGAGTCTATGGGTATTGCTTCTAAAGGAAAGAAGTATGGAAAAAGATACTGGCTATACTACTTATCCTCCAAAGGAGAAAACAGAGCCAGTGCTAGTACCACTGCAGAAGATAGCTCATCAGATAATGTCCTACTCATCCATATGGCAAAGACTGCCAAAAGAAAGCAAGTGGTGTCCCCCTCTCCCTCCATTGAAGCACCACAGAATCTTGCCTTAGTATGTTTGGAAGAAGAAGAAGAAGTCTCTGACCATGGAGAATTTCAAAGGAAGAAGAAGAGAAAGATCAACTCTTCATCAACATCCAAAGATGTCGATTCGGATGAGTTGAAGGAGAAGGAAACTGCTGAGGAAACCTCTATTCAAAACCAGAGCCCTCAACAATTTGAAGAAGAAATCCCTCCAGTCCAAAGCCTTCCAACCTCATCTCAGCCTCATACAGATGATGCTGACAACAAATT